GCTCATCAAAACCACGGCAGAGCATTCCCAGTAGCAGTCTTCACGGTCAAATACATTCCTTATAAAACTCTCATAAACCTCATCACACAGTCACGAAGCATGGAGTGATAAACAAAAAAGAGGGAGACGAACTGCAGACATCACCGCTACAGGTGCTCCTCGGTCTCTGCTGCGTTTTCATACGTTCAACATGCCCTCGTTCACTTGCCCCGGCACTTGCCCTCGGAGTCCCGTCGCCATCATAAGTGCTTCAATTGGTCTGGAAATGAAGTGAACTTGTGAGATGACCCTCGGAGGCTGAGGAAGTGAACAACGATGGTCACTCCGAGTGGATATCCCACAATGCATTGCGTTTGCGGCTATAACGCCGACGTGCCAATGATGACTCCGAGGGCAAGTGCGTTTCATAATCCCCGCTCCTCCCCTGCCACTTCCCTCCGTGCGATGTATGCTGTTACGTCATACCAAGGGCTGAGGGTAGTGAACGAGGGGAAGTGGAACTACTAAGAAATGCAGCCATAGTTCCTCCCCTCGTCACTTACCTCAGCCTTGGTATACGTAACAGCATAGTCGACGGAGGCCACTTGGACGCGGAGAAGTGGGCGGGGAGGAGGGGATTTAAATGAAACGCACTTGCCCTGGAGCTACTCATTGCAGCCGCGTTCGTATAGCGGCAATGATAAACTGCAAGCATTTTGGTGATATCCACTCGGAGTGACCATCGTTGTTCACTCGTCCCTCAGCCTCCAAGGGTCCATCTCACCAAGTTCACTTCAGTTTCCAGACAATTGGAACGACACTATGATGCGACGGGATCCCCGAGGGAAGTGCGAGGCAAGTGAACGAGGCATGTTAAGACTAATGAAACGCACTACTAATGAACGAACCTCTTGTGAAGGTCGGAGCTAACAAGCGCTACTTCCGTTTTTACTATTTCAAAATAAAGCATGTATTTCAAATAAATTCAAGAAACGGCTGCATGTCTAATCTTTCAGAGACTGGTTAGGATGGATGAGAGGACACTTCTCAGGGTCCAAATCGCTCTCCCGACGCCGCCATTGACTGGAAGTGGGTTCATGCAAAGTTGCATCCTAGCTCTTCACACGTTCTTGCTCCAATCCTATAATTCTGGATTCAGTTTGCCGACAATTTGTGCCTTGATCCTTCATAGTTGACTTACATTGCCCTAATGGCAATAAAGCACGCAACGCATGAGGAAGCAACAGTGAAAGATCATCCGCAATGCACATGAGCGGTGCGTGGGTAAGAGTATTTTCCAGTTCTTTCCTTCCATTTTAACATTAAATGGTCTGAAGCAGTCATGCCATGTGGAATGGGGGTAGCTTCCATCTCTCTGTGGAGTCGGCCATTTTGTTCTTGATACACTTGAGTTTTCTGCATTTAATGCCTTGAATACTGAATGACGCACTTCACTACTACACCCAGGATCCAAATCCACGCTGAGCTAGGCATTGATGGTCATTCCACGACCCTGATGTTTCACTTCTCGTGGTAGTACTTTATCAGCAATCGTGACACATGATGACCTTTGGGAGATAGCTGTGTGTTGCTTGTGCTAATCTACCTCCCACCCTTCGGCTACCGATCGGCTTGTGCAGCTCGGTGCTTGCTCTTTTGTATCTCTTCTTTTGTGTAAGAGACTTGATTCATCACTGAATGCTTCTCTTGAACTACACGGAGTTAGAACTGTTCAGCATCCTTCTTCTATAGTGTTGTAGCTCATTAGATCTTGTTTTAAGACTTTTTCTCCTTGCAGACGTTTCAGTCTTTATGGCCCTATTGCTCTCTTCCAATCTGAAAACCTCTGAAGCGGTCTGTAGAGACCTCCTCCTTTGCCTTTGTTGTGTGAACCTGTGCTCTTAATTTCTGTGTCGCCTCATGGTTCTCCTCACCTTTATCTCTCCTTCCTTAGAAGATCCTTTTGCCACAAGAGCTAGGTCCCGTGACCAGTTGACTCTACAAGCTCTTTGTGGTGGTCCCACGAGAGCCAGAGTTCCAACATACAGTGGAGAGAAAATCAGCCATGAATATGTTGGAAGAGGAGGGCGACCACCAGCGCAAGTACAACATAGTTATTACGACGCTCCCGTGACGTCACGTTGTCGCGCGACCAGGTCGGCAGTGTGCGAGTCTACAAGACGCTTTACTGTGAATTGGGTATCCTTGTGTTATTTGCAGACAATGGAGGTCACCTGCTGCTTTACATAGAATGAGGTTTTTTAAGACACTTCCACGTTGGCTTCAGTCTTCAGACCCGGAAGCTCTGTCCATTATATTTACTGTCAATGCATTCAACTCATGTTTTGATACAATACACAATACTGGGTTCACAATTTGATTTTGTCCCGATTTTTTAACATTAAAGACAAATTATAATTGAAGACAAAAATCTACAACAGATATATATTTTTTATCAAATTAAAGAATCCTTTTTTATTTCCAAGGCAGTGCAAAACAATGCACATTTCCTTTTCTTTGTAAAATTGAAAAAGCTGCCACACTTCTGATTTTAAACAGGATGGTGAATCCTCAGTTTCAAAGCTTTACAATGTCTTTGCACCTTGACATGAGTGACAAAGATAGATAGCCTTAGCCTCCAACAGCTTTCCAAATAAACACATTAATCATTTAAATCACGTCTCTGAGTCTGACTCTAAGTAAACACAGAAAGAAGCTGCCTAAAACGACCATTATAGCTAACTACATAGGGAGCATCTGGAGCAACTTGAACACATTCATCTTCGACAAAACTTAACTAACACCTCTAGAGAGATCCTTCCTACATTTTTAAATTGTTTTTGTATTTTTGCTGGTCAAAAGACTATCGACACCACATACTTGTGTAATTTTTGTCTGGCTCTGTTTTTCCTTGATTTGGGCTCATTGTAGTTCCAATGGAGGAAAATCTTAATGCTACAGCATATGATGGTATTTCAGACAATAGTGTTTGTGTTTATCCCTTTCCTGTCTCAACAAGACAGTGCCCCCATTCACAAAGCCGTAAAGAAAAGACGTGTTTGTTCCATAGAGAAATGTTTTTTCCAGTTCGTTATGAAAGAACTTGACTGGCCTGCACAGAGCCCTGACCTCAAAACCATCCAGCACCTTTAGGATCAACTGGAACCCCAACTGTGAGCCAGACCTTATACAATGTTCTTGTGACTGAATGGGACCGAATCCCTGCAGCAGGTTTAACGTCTGGTGGAAAACCTCCTGTAACAAGAAGAGTGGAGGATTGCAGCAGATTCATGCCCATGTCCACATACTTTAGGCCTTGTAGTGCAATAACAACAGAAAACTGTGACCCCTGAAAGTCCAGTCAGATGATTGTCTCAGTCTTCCAGGTTATTTTTGTCTTCAACAGAAAACAGAAAACATTTAACTTCTTCAAAATAAACATCACAAAACATCCGGCTGACTCCACTACAGATTTGATTATGAGGCCGAACATTAAGTGTAATGACGTTAGCGTGCGAGCAGGCTGGAGATGGAGATCATATAGGGAAACTATGATTTTCAATATCATTAGAGTGTAAATGACTTAGTAGTAATAGAACGCTATCAGTTCATCTGCTGCAGCTTAATGACGCATGAAATCAAAAAATATCTGCTGCACTGTGGTGCACTGTGTGTGTTTAGAACACGGTTACCATGGCGACAAACAATCCATCCTGGTCACAAACTGTGGAGGAGGGCAGCTGGAGGTCTGCGGGAGGAGTGTTTATATGCATGCAACTGTCTGTATGCGTGAGATTTGTGCATGATATTTTTATCTCTGTGTGTGTGTGTGACATCAGGATGTACAGACGGACATCCAACATGGCTGGTCTGAGCTACCCTCCCACGGCCTTGACAGCTCTGAAGGTAAAAACTGGTTTATTACTGCAGTCCCATCTGCAGGAAGTGACATCATTTTGTTATTTATTTACTTTTTTATTATTATTTAAAAAATCAAATCAAATCAAACCCTTTCAGTCATTCGGTTACTACTCTGAAAGGCAGTTTTACTTTCTCTAGAAACTTAAGAGAAGGAGGAAGACAAGAAAAATAAAAAATGAAAGAAGATAAGGTAGGAGATAGGAAAGGAAAGGGGAAGTAGGGAAGCAAAAGAAGAAGGAAAGAGTGAAAAGAAAGGGAAGCAAGAAAAAATAAAAACAGAATAAGGAGGGATGGAAGGACACTAGATAAAGAACGGAACACGTTAGAAGGACAGAAGGAAAGACAGTTTGAAGAAAAGAAAAAAGCAGAGGAGGAAAGAAGGAAAAGAAAGAGGGAAGAAAAGGAGGAGGTAGGGAAGGAAAGAAGGAGTTATAGAGGTCATAGGAGGAGGAGGTAGGTAAGGAAAGGAATGGAGTAAGAAAGATTCAGTGGTGTGTGATGACATATGTCTCGCCCTCATAGCTTCCTGTATTATTAAATAATTATAATTATTAAACTATAATTATTCTGCAGCCATGTCTCATTCTCTCATCATATAAAACACACATGGAAACAAAAATAGAACTATTGAAATACAATGCTGTATAAATCATCATGTCAAGTACATCATAGTAACATTAACTTAAAATGTAATTATGATCTAATGAATAATTATAATCATTTATATAATTGGATATAGTGTTCCACCTCCTTTCCAATGTGAGCAAACATTATTGTTATACTTCCCTCTACTGGCAAAACTCCTACATTACATTGAATTACACTGAATAATGACCAACTTGTTCTCAGAATGATCTGCTGTATACAGTGAAGTACAGAGCAGATATCCCTGTACTGTACTGTCCCATTTCACATGTTTTTAGTCTTTGATATGACGGTGATAATGAGAGTGATGATGTCTAGCCGGACTCTTCCTGGTTGTTTTCCAGGAAGTGGATCAGTGGTCGTTTGATGTATTTTCCTTCCATGAAGCCACAGGAGACCACGCCCTCAAATTCCTGGTCTACGACCTGCTGACCCGCTATGACCTCATCAACAGGTTCAGGGTACACACAGCTTCATATCATTAACACTGCTGGGGTGGGTGGGGCCAAATGCCAAGCTTCATTAACAGTTGAGCAAGCCTCTGTCAATTTCTTCCTTTCCTGTACTTAGATATGCTATGTGCTAGGCTAATCTATGTTGAAACGACAACTACATTTTGAGGGTGGTTAAAAGATAAAAAGTCACATCTTAAGTTTGCTAATGTCAGCAAAATGCTATTTAACTTTATAGCTATTACAATTGCTGTTAATTAGCTAGCTAGTTAGCTTGTTGTTTGCTAATATAAGCTTTTTGATGTAGCCAAGTAGCGAAAAATGCATGTAGATTAGCTAGCTAGCAAGAAAGCCTTTTGCTAATATTAGCTAGCTCACATAAGATGTCACTATGTTGCTTTCATCTTTTAACCCTCTTCAAAACCCTCAAAATTTCACCCTTTTTGGATTCATGGTTTGACTGGCATTTTCACAAACAATGTATCAATTAATATTAAAAGAAAGTTTCACCAGACATTTAGGGGGTACGACATTTTGACATTTGAAGTTTTAAATAGACTATTTGGTTCTGGATGTATGCCTGGCACAGTGTAGTACTCCTTGTCCCTGTAGTATTGGTAGTTCCTGTAGTACTGTAGTTAAATAATTTCCCCCTGGGATTATTAAAGTATTTCTGATTCTGATTCTGAGTACCTGTAGTCCCTGTGGTATCTGTACTATCTGTAGTACTGTGTTCAGATCCCAGTGCAGGCTCTGGTGCAGTTTGTTGATGCTCTGGAGAATGGCTACAGCAAACACAAGAACCCCTACCACAACCTGATCCACGCCGCTGATGTCACTCAGACTGCCCACTTCCTGATGCTGCACACTGGACTGATGGTAACACGCGCACACACCCACACACATAGACACACTGACATCACTCTGTCACGCACTGGTGGGACAGTGTCTCACATGATCTCTATGGACAGTCAAACTGTAGGAATTATTTCAGTGTGACTGATACGAACCCACTCAACAGTGTGTGTGTGTGTGTCTGTGCAGCACTGGCTCAGCGAGCTGGAGATTCTTGCAATGGTCTTTGCTGCAGCGATTCATGACTTTGAACACACAGGAACCACCAACAACTTCCACATCCATACCAGGTAATGTAGACTGTAATCTAATCAGATTATTCCATAAACCATAAACCTGTGAAATCTGATAGGAAAGTGACATTTTTTTCTCACAGACTGGGCCCGATGGAGCAAGTATGCTTTTATATGAATGAATGATTTGACTTTGTGTTGTCTCTTACTTGTAAGACATGATCTCTTTAAGATTTAGGTTTTTAGGTGTAACTTTGAAAGAAACTAAAATGGCAACTGATAACAAGACTACAAGACCATTACCATGCTAGCAGCTTTTCAATTAAGTGGGCTTAGCTGACCAAACAAAGCTGCAGTAGATAAGTTTTATGAAAATAACTTTTTGTCATGTTTGCTAAAACTTTCACTATATTCTGACAGTAGAACATGAG